ATCAAAGACAGCGCCCTTTGTAAGCCACTAATTGCCGTCTAAATGGTACATAATCTACAAGCACCGTGACATGATATTTTAATGTGAATCCCTTTGCACCCACGCCCAACAAGAAATGGCCAAACCTAAGGGGACGACAATACCAGCGCCTTGAGCATGCACTAGTTGCGTGGATATGTGCGCTATATAAATATCCTGTAATAATAAAAAAAGGGCACGGACAATAGTCGGAAATGGGTTTTCTGGAGTTTTATTGTCCAGAACCTTGACTAATATGTTATATCTACCTTCATTTTAACGCGCTTTAAAACAAATACAAAGGCTTTGACACTCTATGAAGGCACAAGGCACAATAAAAAAAACTTGAAAATTATCTTAAGTATATTCAGCACATCAGTAAGATTAAGACGTTTAGGGAAGTGTCACGCGAATAAGTAAAAAACCCTCATTTTTAGATCTGTTTTAGATTTAAGTATGTATAATACGATTTCAGGTTGTCTTACGACAGGGTGTCTACAAAACAACGTCTAATTCGCGATCGGATGTCTAGTCTAGACAACTGACTTTCCGACCAATTCCCGTTTCTGTTTCCGTACGTGCCACGACGTATTTATTCCACACGAATGTCCTATTCCAGTAAAAACGGTACAATCCGGATTAACGAGATTCCAGAATATACACTTGTAAGATTCCTTGGCGAAATTTCCTGAAGATGAAGGGTAAATAGTTCTTTTGCCAATAAACCGGTAATCCAAAGCCGTACTACATTTGCACCATTAGTCTGCCTCACAGCCCCTGAACCACATTATTTCCCCCACAGCCTGACCCTCCCTGCAATGCTAAAGCCCTAAATGAAGCAAGTCTAGATTTCCCCAGGTTCTGAATCTCTGGTCTCCCTGGGGCTCCTTTTCAATTTAAATAGGTTTATTTGTTACAATCAAAATAATATACTAGTATATTTTATACTACTAAGCGTTAGTGTATTATTACACTGTAAGATACATGATATCATTGTCAAACAATCTAGACTGAAAGTACATTATGTTTTCAAACAGTAAACTGTACAACATCCAGCCAACATTCATACAAATTTATTAAAATATATTTAATAAAGTGTTCCTCAAATAGAGAAGTTGACATCAATAAATTCTCGCCTTTATGCCTATAACTCCTTCCAAAGACTTGATGTGATATCAGCATAGAGATGGTGCAGGTAGATCCACTAACAAAACCGCCTCCGTGGTGTAGTGGTTAGAGCGTCCGCCCGGAGAGCGGAAGGTCGTGGGTTCGATCCCCGACCTCGTCATACCAAAAGACGTTAAACTATGGTACTTGTTGGTCCCTGCCTGGCGCTCGGCATTAATGGGTACAACAAGGACTGGTCGGCTCGGAGTCAGTATAATGTGTCTGAGTGGGGTAGTCATGCTTCACTGGGGGCATGGTATCTCAGTGAGCTAGCACTATAAAACCAGCTTAAGTCTTGGCTAGTACAAGCAGCCGCACATACACATACACACGCATCTACGTCGTCATATGAGCGAAATATTCTCCAGCACGACGAATATACCCAATTTCACCTCACCTCACCTCCACTAACAAGAACAACCATGTTGTTCAAATAGAGAATTTGACATAAATACATTCTTGACTTTAAAATTAACAATAATAAAATAACAAATAAATGGCAATTTATATTTTTATAAATAGTTTTATTTTTAATAAGTTTATAACCTTTCTCTTCCCAGCACATTGTCTATATCCTGTAATGAGCACTATACATGTTTCCACAATGTCAAGCTTCCAAATGTAAATTGCTCATTCCCGGTATGTATACTATTCACACTTTGCTAAGGATCAAATCATGGATTCAACAGAAAACTATGATGTGGGTCAAATTTGGTTTAAATATCTAAGCATATTGTAAGCATGGATCCTAGGTTTCAGTTTGTCATTTCGTCTTGTGGATCCCATACCTGCTATTGACAGGTGTTGTGTGCTTGTCAACGACTTGCATGATTTGTAAAATGGTTGACTGTTGCCATGAAAACAATTTCTATGGTTACTCATGTATCAAGTGCATAAGGTTAGTTTAAAGTGACTGTTTGCCTAAAGAGAGGTTACCATATCATTATTTATCCAATTTCAAATGGATACAATTTCAAATTATAAATCTACGTTTAAGTAAAGTTGTGATTTTTTGTGATCCTTAGCAAAGTGTGAGTAGTATAATATTATGTTTAACTGTATTTAAGGAGAGCGGTGCACTTGTGCCTAATCCCTTTGTCTTTTTGGCAATAAAATATGTTTAAAACAAACACTACAAATGTATCAGCAGATTGAGATCAGTTAATGTATGCATGTAAGAAATACAAAATACGGATTAAGAGAATGATTTAAACTTAAGTTGCATGATTATGGAATAAACACCAGTACCGGCTGATGGTTAATTAGAAGCATATTTCACTAGAAAAGCACCTTAAGTACGTTTCACTCGAAAACATGAATATTTTAAAGTTGAAGCAGATTATTACTAAAATGAGTTTGAAGTATGTTTACGTTAACTACTTAAATGAATCGTAGACAGGAGAGGCTTTTTGGTCATTATACGTACCACACCCACGTGTAGGTGCTTGTAAAACACAGGTGCGTGTCTCGGGATCACCAATATATCGTTTATTTGACGACGTACTCGAAACATGGACGGTAAAATGTCTTTAGTGAACATCAGTCAAGACTTAAAAATCCGAACAGGAGTTTAGGGACATGCAACATGCCCATATGACCCACCGTGCTACCATTACACTTTCATCTTAAACATTTAATATAACCGTCTTTGCAAAATTGCTGCATAAACTATTAAAAACAATTAAAAAGAGATCGAGGTTACAACATCAATCACTTTGAACTCTGAGTTATTTCCCGCATCTTAGACAGATACTTGAAAATATTCGCCCGATCTTGTCAGACAGAAGTCAACTTTAACAGTTTCCTTCAGAGTGAGTGAGTGAGTGTGTTTAGTTTTACGCCGCTTTTAGCAATGTTCCAGCAATATCACGGTGGGGGGACCAGAAATGGGCTTCACACATTGTACCCATACGGGGTATCGAACCCGGGTCTTCAGCGTGAAGAACGAACGCTCTAACAACTAGGCTACCCCACCGCCCCTTCAGAGTGAGTGAGGGTGTCTGTGGGTATACGCTGCTTGACGTCCATCTGTTTGTTTATTGTTTTAAAACATTTGATCAACTAGACACATCTGTTTTCGTATTTCGATTGAAGACTTAGAAATACATCGAATACCTTCTCTTTTCAGCAATGTTTTTAAATGGCAGGGTTTAAATGGAAATCAAGCTACATATGCAATTAAAAAGGTCTAGTGAAGTTTATATAGAATTTGAATGAGCTAAGATCGGGTCACTGGGCATCTACCTCTTGTCTCAGTCAGACATGGACAATTTGCACCTTTATTTATGCTTGTTTAGCAACGTTGCGGGCGATGGGGTAACCTAATGGTTAAAGCGTTGGCTCGTCACGCCGAAGACCCGGGTTCGAATCCCCACATGGGTACTATGTGTGAAGCCCATTTCTGGTGTCCCCCGCCGTGATGTTGCTGGAATATTGCTAAAAGCGGCGTAAAACCAAACTCAGTCAGTCAGTAACGTTGCACTAAGAAATATTTCATCATTCGGTGGTATGAAAATGATCGGGTCTGGACCAGACAATCCAGTGACTGACATCATGAGCATAATCTACGTACAGGGATACGATGAAATGCATCAACAAAGTCAGCGACTCTGACCACTGGATTCGGTTAATCGTCTCTATCACACGCATGGGAAGCGGAATATCAATTCTATGTTTAACGCAGCAATATTCCAGCTAAATGGCGGCGGTCTGTAAAAAATCGAGTCTGAACCAGACAATCCAGTGATCAACAGCATCGATCTACACGTGTCAACCAAGTCAGCGACCCGATCCCGTTAGTCACCGCTTAGAAGACCAATTCTACCCGGTTCTTCATGGGTCTCCAGCAGTAAGAAACAGTCCTTGCAGTAACACGGTGAATAACAGAATTAGGAGTTGGTTAGTCACAAAACAGTCTCGGTCTACTATTCAATACATATCGCCAGTAACTGACGTACGGACTCTGTCAGCATATAAATAGGAATTACCTTTGTGAACACCTGGTGTCATCACTGATTTTCATATAATTTTCATCATGTTGTCTTTAAAAGCCAACGGAAACTATTTGGGTTGAATATGTAGAGTGGTTATTCTCTGACGTTAACTATTTACATAATTGACGGCCATTAATGGTTTAACGGTCATAAAATATACCAAAAACGCCAAGAAAAAGGTGGTGGGTTTCCAGAATTGATAAAAAAGGGCAGAATTGATAACATGGCAAACATGTTAAAATTGCCTTTGGAACCAGAGGAATTAATTTTTGTGATCTAGTCTGCAGACGATTCCACGGTCAGTTTGGATAGTTGCCAACCGAAGTTGTTAGAGTTGCTTGCTACAGAAATATAAATAAGCTTGTTTTGCTCAAATGGTTCTTGTATTTCGCGCGAAGTTGTTTTTCGTTGGTTTAATGGCGGCAATCAATGTTAATAACGTCTATATGAATGTATATTGTTCACAAGTTTTACATGTATGTGTGAAAAACTAGGTATTTGTGAGAAAATGTTCTCTCCGTGGGAGATTGATCAATATTTTATTGTTTAAAAATTACTTTGGCTTTGTATGAAATTTTGCAATAATATATTTTCTAGTAAAAAGTATTGCTTAAGATGAAATGATATTTTTAATAAATTTTTGGTTTTATTTTGCTCAGGTTGGTCAGTAAGAAACAGTCCTTGCAGTAACACGGTGAATAACAGAATTAGGAGTTGGTTAGTCACAAAACAGACTCGGTCTACTATTCAATACTTATCGCCAATATGGTGGATGGGCGTGTCTTTGTTTATCAGGTTTGTATCAATGAGAGCGACATAGACCAGAAGGTTTGCAGTTTATTTTATATATAAATGCATTACATACAGCTTACAGTAACTGGAAATGCATGGTATTCAAAACAGTCAAAAAATGTTATCACGCTACAAATAACTGATGTGTATCAAGTAACCCATTGCATCCAAACAAAAAACTGTTCTTGATTTTAACAAATACATTCACTCTTCACTTTCATGTGTTTACTTTCAACAAGGAGAGCTGATACACCCGTCCACGTGTATTTGTACAAAGTTGTAAAACGTGTAATCATGATGTTAAAAAGATGCTATAAAAGCATTAGTAAACTGCAAGCAAAACGTTAACCATTCTAAATCAGACTTGGTGATTGTTCATTCACCTATCCGGTAAAATAATTAATTATTCATCTTCATAATATCTTCGATATTCGGCTCGCTAGTCTAAACACTGATTACAACATCACCCTGTTAATCGTGAGGGCGTTATTCCAATCGTATAAATTGAGTTCTGGATTAACAAGTAATTGTTTTGGATAGGTTGTTTTTCAGCAAAATGTGTTTTTGGGCCTATGGCATTTTACTGGAAATAAATAATTGTTTTGGAGTCCCTTGTGTTTGAATATACACTGAAACTTTACATTCGTATTCTGTTATTCCATAAACCCCCCAACCAGGAACATTACTGCTGACAACGCTTACATGTACAATAGGTGACATTACTCTAAGCTGGTTCCCGGCTCCCTTTGCGCGCGTAACTTTGGGACAAAGCTATATTGCCATATGCGAGACGGGGCCCAGCTTAACATTACTCGTACCACTTGATAATCCGGAAGCTCGTTAATCCGGACCGCTACCATACGGATAAACGAGTTTTCACTGTACACGATAACCAGTGAAGTCAAGCGTGGTTTTCTATACCAGTACAATCAACTAAAACAAAGTAATTTAAATATATCAGGGGGGTCAGGACGATTCACTGCTGAGTGTTTCTTGTCTAGAGTCCATCTCAATCTGATTCTCCATAATTGAGTTCAGTTTCTCCTCGATGTTAAAACCCATCAAGTCCTTCCGTGTGATGAAGCCAACTACCCTGTTAGTATCGTCTGTCACCACCAGGTGGCGCATGCCGAGTGTGCGCAGAACGATGTACGTACGGTGAAGAGAGAACTTCTCTGGCACTGTGAAGGCTGACTGGTTGACGTACGGACTCTGTCAGCATATAAATAGGAATTACCTTTGTGAACACCTGGTGTCATCACTGATTTTCATATAACTTTCATCATGTTGTCTTTAAAAACCAACGGAAACTATTTGGGTTGAATATGTAGGCTGGTTATTCTCTGACGTTAACTTTTACATAACTGACGGCCATTAATGGTTTAACGGTCATAAAATATACCAAAAACGCCAAGAAAAAGGTGATGGGTTTCCAAAATTGATAAAAAAAAGCAGAATGATAACATGGCAAACATGTTAAAATTGCCTTTGGAACCAGAGGAATTAATTTTTGTGATCTAGTTTGCAGACGATTCCACGGTCAGTTTGGATAGTTGCCAACCGAAGTATGTAGAGTTGCTTGTCACAGAAATATAAATAAGCTTGTTTTGCTCAAATGATTCTTGTATTTCGCGCGAAGTTGTTTTTTGTTGGTTTAATGGCGGAAATCAATGTTAATAACGTCTATATGAATGTATATTGTTCACAAGTTTTACATGTATGTGTGAAAAACTATGTATTTGTGAAAAAACTTTGTTCTCTTCGTGGGAGATTGAACAATATTTTGTTTTTCACATTTACTTTGGCTTTGTATGAAATTTTGCAATAATATTTTTTCTAGTAAAAGTATTGCTTAAGATGAAATGATATTTTTATAAATATTTGGTTTCATTTGGCTCAGGTTGGTCGCTCCCTGTACCGAAACATATGGCGTTGCCTAATGCGATGGTATTTACCAGGTTTATGTAGCGTTCCTTGTACTCCTCTTCGTTAATGTACTTCTGTAGGGTGTCGAAGGTTACTTTTGGGTTGGACAACTTCTCGAGCATCAGCTGGGAACATCAAGAGTAGTTATAAAGTGTAGGCCACAGAGTTTCTCCGCCGCCATGTTGGAATACTGAGTGTGGCGTTGAACAACAATCAATCAGTTGCTTTTGATATCTTTATCGATATATACCCAACAAAAGAATATAAAGACCACCCCAATTTTCAATATTAATGTATTTAATCGTTCATATTATGATCAATATAATACTTAAATAATGAATATCGGGGTGGTCCATCTGCTAAACGTTCTGATATCTCCTGTTTTCGCCAGGTTTGGAAGATTAATAGACGTTCACACACGACACAGCCAAGAGAGGCAGTATAGCCTTATTCCCATTATTTTCAAATTAGTTTTGTGAATTATTACAGAAGGAAAACTGATCTAACCATGACGAGTATGACTTCAAGTATTTCAAGTTTCACTTCTCAACGGAGACTCGCATACGCATACGCACACTAGCACGCACACGCAGTCATGTGCGCATGCACACACAACGCTCGCGCAGTACATGTATACGGTACGTATACATGTATAAAATTGCCCGTCTGGATAAATACATGTATTACTTTTCACAAGATCTCAAATTTCTAATTCACTAAATATTCTAATGAACAAATATGGTATCATAAATGGTAATACATGGTAATTTTCATCCAATCGCAAATTATAGGTGCTTTTATTCAATGAACAAACATGGCATAATGTTTAGTAATTTTCATCCAACGCCAATGATAGGTGCATTTATTCAATGTACAACATCGCTTAATGGGTAAGTACATATATATATATACTTCACGATGGAATTAACCAAAAATTTAATTCACACTTTTTATCCCACCTTTTCATAGTTGACAAGTTTGACTTCTTCTCCATCGTGTGGCACAGCTTCATCATTTTCCTGGAACATCTCGTCATGCATCAGCAACACAATCAACTCCAGTCTGTCAAACATATACATTGAGTGAGTGAGCATTGTTTTACGCCGTGTTTAGCAATATTCCAGCACTGTCACGGCGGGAGACACAAGACATGGGCTCCACACATTGTACCCATGTGGGGAATGTGAGTGGGCGAGTTGCTTTGAACAATGTATCAGTTTAACGTTGGGAAAACCCCATGCAGATATTAGGCGTTGCCAAAACAAGAATCATATGTAGTATTCAAACCCAACATCAACGGATCCTGGCAAATAAGGGAAGTAACTCTACACAAGGAATTGCCGATTCTCAGACTACAGAGCCTCCAACACAACCAGACATACTATTTTTAAGACAGATGGCAACTCATGAGAAGTTTGACGATCTTTCGAAGAAGAAATTATTTCGTTGAAAATGGTGTCTTTAATTTCATAATCAGGCTATAACGGTTTGAAAACACCGAGTTACCTAGTAATTAAGCCATGGAAGATCTCCTGTCCTTGTCTGTCCACCCTGACCACAGGGTATCCCCCGTGAGTGGTGGTCAGAAGCAGGTCTGCTATGACGGACACGGCCTCCACTTGATGCACCCTCACAACGGGCGTGGACATGATGTCCTTGGCATAGAACATGTCCAGCTGAAGTCTGGGAACACAGACAAGTAAACGTTAGTCACTAGGGCTATATGTGGACATGATGTCCTTGGCATAGAACAGGTCAGCTGAAGTCTGGGAACACAGACAACCAAACGTTAGTCTCTAGGGGCTATATGTGGACATGATGCCCTTGGTATAGAACAGGTCAGCTGAAGTCTGAGAACACAGACAACCAAACGTTAGTAGTTAGGGCTATGTGTGGACATTATGTCCTTGGCATAGAACAGGTCAGCTGAAGTCTGGGAACACAGACAAGCAAACGTTAGTCTCTAGGGGTATGTGTGGACATGGTGTCCTTGGTATAGAACAGGTCCAGCTGAAGTCTGGGAACACAGAAAACCAAACGTTAGTCTCAAGGGCTATGTGTGGACATGATGTCCTTGGTATAGAACGGGTCAGCTGAAGTCTGGAAACACAGACAACCAAACGTTAGTCACTAGGGCTATGTGTGGACATGATGTCCTTGGTATAGAACAGGTCCAGCTGAAGTCTGGGAACACAGACAACCAAACGTTAGTCTCTAGGGCTATGTGTGGCCATGATGTCCTTGGCATAGAACATGTCCAGCTGAAGTCTGGGAACACAGACAAGCAAACGTTAGTCTCTGGGGCTATGTGTGGACATGATGTCCTTGGCATAGAACATGTCCAGATGAAGTCTGGGAACACAGACAAGCAAACATTAGTCACTAGGGGTATGTGTGGACATGGTGTCCTTGGTATAGAACAGGTCAGCTTTAGTCTGGGAACACAGACAACCAAACGTTAGTCTCTAGGGGTATGTGTGGACATGATGTCCTTGGTATAGAACAGGTCCAGCTGAAGTCTGGAAACACAGACAACCAAACGTTAGTCTCTAGGGGTATGTGTGGACATGATGTCCTTGGTATAGAACAGGTCAGCTGAAGTCTGAGAACACAGACAAGCAAACGTTAGTCATTAGGGCTACGTGTGGACATTATGTCTTTGGCATAGAACAGGTCAACTGACGTCTGGGAACACAGACAAGCAAACGTTAGTCTCTAGGGCTATGTGTGGACATGATGTCCTTGGCATAGAACAGGTCAGCTGAAGTCTGGGAACACAGACAACCAAACTTTAGTCACAAGGGCTATGTGTGGACATGATGTCCTTGGTATAGAACAGGTCCAGCTGGGAACACAGACAACCAAACGTTAGTCACTAGGGCTATGTGTGGACATGATGTCCTTGGTATAGAACAGGTCCAGCTGAAGTCTGGGAACACAGACAACCAAACGTTAGTCTCTAGGGCTATGTGTGGACATGATGTCCTTGGTATAGAACAGGTCCAGCTGAAGTCTGGGAACACAGACAACCAAACGTTAGTCTCTAGGGCTATGTGTGGCCATGATGTCCTTGGCATAGAACATGTCCAGCTGAAGTCTGGGAACACAGACAAGCAAACGTTAGTCTATGGGGCTATGTGTGGACATGATGTCCTTGGCATAGAACATGTCCAGATGAAGTCTGGGAACACAGACAAGCAAACGTTAGTCACTAGGGGTATGTGTGGACATGGTGTCCTTGGTATAGAACAGGTCAGCTGAAGTCTGGGAACACAGACAACCAAACGTTAGTCTCTAGGGGTATGTGTGGACATGATGTCCTTGGTATAGAACAGGTCCAGCTGAAGTCTGGAAACACAGACAAGCAAACGTTAGTCTCTAGGGGTATGTGCGGACATGATGCCCTTGGTATAGAACAGGTCAGCTGAAGTCTGAGAACACAGACAAGCAAACGTTAGTCATTAGGGCTATGTGTGGACATTATGTCCTTGGCATAGAACAGGTCAGCTGACGTCTGGGAACACAGACAAGCAAACGTTAGTCTCTAGGGCTATGTGTGGACATGATGTCCTTGGCATAGAACAGGTCAGCTGAAGTCTGGGAACACAGACAACCAAACTTTAGTCACTAGGGCTATGTGTGGACATGATGTCCTTGGTATAGAACAGGTCCAGCTGGGAACACAGACAACCAAACGTTAGTCACTAGGGCTATGGGTGGACATGATGTCCTTGGTATAGAACAGGTCCAGCTGAAGTCTGGGAACACAGACAACCAAACGATAGTCTCTAGGGCTATGTGTGGACATGATGTCCTTGGTATAGAACAGGTCCAGCTGAAGTCTGAAAACACAGACAAGCAAACGTTAGTCTCTAGGGCTATGTGTGGACATGATGTCCTTGGCATAGAACAGGTCCAGCTGAAGTCTGAGAACACAGACAAGCAAACGTTAGTGATTAGGGCTATGTGTGGACATGATGTCCTTGGCATAGAACATGTCCAGATGAAGTCTGGGAACACAGACAAGCAAACATTAGTCACTAGGGGTATGTGTGGACATGGTGTCCTTGGTATAGAACAGGTCTGCTGAAGTCTGGGAACACAGATAACCAAACGTTAGTCTCTAGGGGTATGTGTGGACATGATGTCCTTGGTATAGAACATGTCCAGCTGAAGTCTGGGAACACAGACAACCAAACGTTAGTCTCTAGGGGTATGTGTGGACATGATGCCCTTGGTATAGAACAGGTCAGCTGAAGTCTGAGAACACAGACAAGCAAACGTTAGTCATTAGGGCTATGTGTGGACATTATGTCCTTGGCATAGAACAGGTCAGCTGACGTCTGGGAACACAGACAAGCAAACGTTAGTCTCTAGGGCTATGTGTGGACATGATGTCCTTGGCATAGAACAGGACAGCTGAAGTCTGGGAACACAGACAACCAAACTTTAGTCACTAGGGCTATGTGTGGACATGATGTCCTTGGTATAGAACAGGTCCAGCTGGGAACACAGACAACCAAACGTTAGTCACTAGGGCTATGTGTGGACATGATGTCCTTGGTATAGAACAGGTCCAGCTGAAGTCTGGGAACACAGACAACCAAACGTTAGTCTCTAGGTCTATGTGTGGACATGATGTCCTTGGTATAGAACAGGTCCAGCTGAAGTCTGAAAACACAGACAAGCAAACGTTAGTCACTAGGGCTATTTGTGGACATGATGTCCTTGGCATAGAACAGGTCAGCTGACGTCTGGGAACACAGACAAGCAAACGTTAGTCTCTAGGGCTATGTGTGGACATGATGTCCTTGGCATAGAACAGGACAGCTGAAGTCTGGGAACACAGACAACCAAACTTTAGTCACTAGGGCTATGTGTGGACATGATGTCCTTGGCATAGAACATGTCCAGATGAAGTCTGGGAACACAGACAAGAAAACATTAGTCACTAGGGGTATGTGTGGACATGGTGTCCTTGGTATAGCACAGGTCCAGCTGAAGTCTGGAAACACAGACAACCACACGTTAGTCTCTAGGGGTATGTGTGGACATGATGCCCTTGGTATAGAACAGGTCAGCTGAAGTCTGGGAACACAGACAACCAAACGTTAGTCACTAGGGCTATGTGTGGACATGATGTCCTTGGTATAGAACAGGTCCAGCTGGGAACACAGACAACCAAACGTTAGTCACTAGGGCTATGTGTGGACATGATGTCCTTGGTATAGAACAGGTCCAGCTGAAGTCTGGGAACACAGACAAGCAAACGTTAGTCACTAGGGCTATGTGTGGACATGATGTCCTTGGCATAGAACATGTCCAGCTGAAGTCTGGGAACACAGACAAGCAAACGTTAGTCTCTGGGGCTATGTGTGGACAAGATGTCCTTGGCATAGAACATGTCCAGATGAAGTCTGGGAACACAGACAAGCAAACGTTAGTCACTAGGGCTATGTGTGGACATGGTGTCCTTGGTATAGAACAGGTCAGCTTAAGTCTGGGAATACAGACAACCAAACGTTAGTCTCTAGGGGTATGTGTGGACATGATGTCCTTGGTATAGAACAGGTCCAGCTGAAGTCTGGAAACACAGACAACCAAACGTTAGTCTCTAGGGGTATGTGTGGACATGATGCCCTTGGTATAGAACAGGTCCAGCTGAAGTCTGAAAACACTGACAAGCAAACGTTAGTCACTAGGGCTATGTGTGGACATGATGTCCTTGGCATAGAACAGGTCCAGCTGAAGTCTGAGAACACAGACAAGCAAACGTTAGTGATTAGGGCTATGTGTGGACATTATGTCCTTGGCATAGAACAGGTCAGCTGAAGTCTGGGAACACAGACAAGCAAACGTTAGTCTCTAGGGGTATGTGTGGACATGGTGTCCTTGGTATAGAACAGGTCTGCTGAAGTCTGCGAACACAGACAACCAAACGTTAGTCTCTAGGGCTATGTGTGGACATGATGTCCTTGGTATAGAACAGCTCAGCTGAAGTCTGGGAACACAGACAACCAAACGTTAGTCACTAGGGCTATGTGAGGACATGATGTCCTTCGTATAGAACAGGTCCAGCTGAAGTCTGGGAACACAGACAAGCAAACGTTAGTCTCTAGGGGTATGTGTGGACATGATGCCCTTGGTATAGAACAGGTCAGCTGAAGTCTGAGAACACAGACAAGCAAACGTTAGTCACTAGGGCTATGTGTGGACATTATGTCCTTGGCATAGAACAAGTCAGCTGAAGTCTGCGAACACAGACAACCAAACGTTAGTCTCTAGGGCTATGTGTGGACATGATGTCCTTGGCATAGAACAGGTCAGCTGAAGTCTGGGAACACAGACAACCAAACGTTAGTCACTAGGGCTATGTGTGGACATGATGTCCTTGGTATGGAACAAGTCAGCTGAAGTCTGGGAACACAGACAACCAAACGTTAGTCACTAGGGCTATGTGTGGACATGATGTCCTTGGTATAGAACAGGTCCAGCTGAAGTCTGGGAACACAGACAAGCAAACGTTAGTCTCTAGGGCTATGTGTGGACATGGTGTCCTTGGTATAGAACAGGTCTGCTGAAGTCTGCGAACACAGACAACCAAACGTTAGTCTCTAGGGCTATGTGTGGACATGATGTCCTTGGTATAGAACAGCTCAGCTGAAGTCTGGGAACA